GAAGAGCACGACTGCAGGCAGCTGTTTGAGAGTTGTCCTTCTGTTCCCCTGCCTTTTGGTGTGCTGTAAGGGTACGGTGGTAGCTAGGAGAGCTTACGTGCTAGTTTAACGTTGTGGCTGTATTTTTATGAGGAAAAATGTTATTCCTACTGATAATTTCCTGTTTAAATGCCCTTCTAAAAAGACTACATTATAAAAGTGAAGGTTCTCCTTTGAAATATGCTTTATTTTAAATGAAAGTGTCAGGAAGAAAAAACACAGCCGTTGATGCAGTTAAACTGATGCAAACTAGTGCCTCAAACAACGTTTGCCTGGCCTGTAGGTCTGTAGCACTGCCCACTGCTGGCTACAGCCCTGCTGTGGTGGTGTGAAATCACCCGCCTGTGGATTCCAGCATCTTGGACAGCTGTGGGAAAAGCCGTACGAAAGAGATGGGGTGGCAAAACCAAAAGATAGAATTGGCAGTGGGCATAAGTCTGGGTGCTCATTTTAAAGCGTTTAACACAAGGTTCAGAACTTAGCCTTGAAATATAAAAGGTGTGATTTTAGAGGGTGGTGCTAGCTCTCTGACAGGAGCGCTGGTAGAGAGGTCACTACCCAACTGGTAGTGTGATGTTTATTAAACTTTGTAATGTGCCTGCCTTTCCATTGTGGCATTCTTGGTTACGTGGTGGTACAACCACCTGTTCATGCACAGAGTGTAAAGAATGGTTTTGTAATGATGGATCTGTGTTTGCTTTCATTTCCATATTAGATGTGCAAGATGTCTTCAGCTGTTCTCACTCAAAGCGGCTGAGAAGAACTGGAATTGAAGATGAGAACCAACAAGGTGTACAAGCTCGTCATACACAAGAAGGGGTTTGGAGGCAGTGGTCAGTATCTCCTGGTTCATAAGAGTGACACCAGCACTCTTACTTAATTGAAGGCAATGAACTGATTTATTGATCTTTTTAACAAACGAGTGAAGATGAACTTCGATGTAACAAACAGTATTCCAGACAGTTTGGAAAGTTCTTTATTAATAGATACAGCAGAATAAACTTGCATCTGTTGGAACAGAATGAGATTGCACCTATGAAATAAAATTGCTTTGTTCTACCTCTTCCCCTTTCGCTGCATCACTTTATTTTTAACATTTTATTTCAGTCACCCTAATAAGTGACAGACATGTCAGTGACTTATCACTGTGTGTATATGTGTTGCTGTGTACTAAGAACAATGTCACTTATTTGCTCCTAATTCTAGACTTATAGCACGGTAATAAATCTTGTTAACGTTCCACAGCTGTTTACTTTCCTGCTGGTGTTTGCTGCATGAAAAATACAAAAGGTGATGCTGTTTGCCTCGTTAAGGCACACTCTTTTGCTGAGCAAACCTTTTGTGAAAGTGCTGTGGTTTGAAAGGAAAACTTTTGCCCACAAGTGTGGCCAGACGGAGGTGGCTGGGTGAGGGCTCTGTCATGTAGTGATTATAACAGATTCGTTACGTGTTAATCCTGGGCTAGTGCATTAGGCAGAGGAAGCTATGGCATGCAAACCTGCACGCATCTGTTGTGTATCTGTCCATTGCTGTTTTCCTCATTTGTTTATGTCTTATAGATGATGAACTGGTGGTGAATCCTAAAGTATTTCTTCAAATCAAGCTGGGAGATGTTGTGGAAATTGCACATCCCAATGATGAATACAGGTGAATTCTATTTGCTGGTATCAGTCAGGTGTGGTTAGAGCAGTGAATGGCATGTTCATGTACAGCGGCTTCTAGAGTGAGAGGCTCTTAGAGCTGATGCAGCTTTGATTCAGGTTGCTGCTGTGTTTTTTTTTCTGTCTGAAGAAAAGTAAAGGGGATAACTGTAGTGGGAGCTCTTCCTTAAAGTTGATGGAATTCTTGGTGTTTGGCGTTAGTTTGCTGACCTTTCACGGGGCAAGTAGCACCTCAATATAAAATCTACAGTGTCTTTATCCTCTTCATAGAGCTGCTGTTACGTAATGATTATTCTCCCATCCTACCGTATGTCCTAGGCAAAGCTAAAACATCCTGGTGAGGTATAAAACCATAAGCCTTCTTACTTGAAGCTGTTCATCCTGCAGCCCCTACCTGAAAAGGACCAGTATACTTGTATGAGGGTCTGAGAAGTTCCTGTGTGACTTATTTCCCATTCAGAGTATCACCTTTATTTGGGCAATACTTTACCCAGAGTACCAGGGTGACAGGCAGAGAGAACGATGTATGAAGCTTTCTAGAAAATATTAATGTTTCTCTTTAGCTTATCTCATGCTCCATGTTACTAAATAGTTTTGAGAGTGTCATTTACCAGAGTGGGCTGTTGGTATCTCAACTTCTCTACCTGTTTTCTTTTTCTGCATGCTAGTCCCCTGCTTCTACAAGTGAAGTCTCTTAAGGAAGATTTGCAGAAAGGTAAACTCTAGACTCACAGCATGCATAGTGAAATCATAGACAAAGGTTAAGTGGTTGGGCTGAACCTGTGATTCGCTGGTGCATGTATGTTAACTTTGTAAGAAAATCAATGCTTTGTCTACTTAAGAATGGAAGGATTCTAATTTTAGCAGAAAATGAATAACCAGTTTTAAATCTGCCTTTGGGTGAGTAATGTGAGTTATGGTTTAAACAAAATTGGCTTTTTAGCCTTAAATTTTTGTTCCTGAATTCTCTGACTAGATTTATATCGTTCCTTCCTGCAGGAATTAATTCAGCCTAAACTTTGGGTTTATCTCACCTGCTTTGTTTTTAATGACTCTTAAACTGGGCCACAGCTGAATGAAGCTGTTGTCTTTCGCTGAGGCTCTAAGTGTTCCATGACAATCTCACTGTATTGCTTTTGTACTTGTAAATACTTGAATCCTCTTGGGAATGTTCACTTCTCTCTTGTCCTTTCTCTTTTTTGTGTCAGAAACTATAAGTGTGGATCAGACAGTTGCGCAGGTGTTCCGACTGCGGCCGTACCAGGATGTCCATGTGAATGTTGTTGACCCAAAGGTGTGTGGCTTTGCAACTTGTTTCCATCTGCCCCTTCACTTAGGTCAGATCAGAGCCCTGTGAATTTCCATCTACAGTAGTATTTTAAAAAGTGCATTTATGTTTTATTGAGAAGTCTTTAGCCGCCTTTCCTGAGAAAATGAGGCTTGGGCAATTGAACTGTGTGTGTGTTTGTGTCTCTTTGTTGTCTCCCTGCCATCCCTGCTCTCTTTTTGAAATCTATGGACCAGCTTTAACACAGCGTGATACAAATTTAGAAATTTCAAATATCTTTAAATTCCAGAAGTTCAGGATAACCAGGCAGAGCCAAGAGAAACACTAAGTGGCCTAGTCAAAAGAGGAGCCATGGCATAGGCTTGCACTCTTTGACACCAGAGAGCCTTGTGAGAAGGGCATCTCTTGTAAATGTCCCAGCTGTCAAAAGAGCTTCTGTCAGAGCTTCTGTTCAGCACAAGACACAAATTTGGAGGAAACAAGGTTTCCTTAATGTCATGAACAATGGAAGTAATTTCTTGTGCTTCCGATTTGCACTGCACTTGTCACACAGATTGAGCCCTTGGGCTATTTCTGGTCACACTGTGCAGTGTCCTGCAGCTCACAGTAGTTTGGGGTACACGCACAACTTCGGCAGTTACTCTGATGTGACTTCCCTTTGGTCTTGCATCTGTTAGGAGCATTGACTTGCTTGAGAACAGCCCTGCCTGTAACATTTGGTTTTTCCCAGAACAGATTGAAGGGCACTACTTGGAAACAACCAGGAAAATCTAAGCACTGTTTTCCTTCCGTTTCCCAGGAGGTGACGTTGGACTTGGTGGAGCTAACCTTTAAAGATCAGTATATTGGGCGCGGGGATATGTGGCGACTGAAGAAGAGTTTGGTAAGGCCTCTGCTGTCCTCGGGTGTAGGGTGGAGGTGGTTACATACCTTTTTCTTTGCTTGCTCTTAAAGAAAATCAAGCATTTTACGAAATACAGAAAACTGGTGCTGAGGCCAGCATCAGCCGCTCCTGAGGAACTTGTGCTGTAAGTGGTACAGCAGAGCTGGAGACGTGGATGTAAACGTGCTGCAGAAAAAATTAGCCCCATCGTCTCCTACGCCATTGCAGTAGTGTAAATTACTGCCTTGGGCACTGAAAATGCTGTTGAGAGGGTTTGGTTTTTTTTTTCCCTTATGTTCTGAATTGTAATGATTTCTTACCTTTGGAAAGAATTGAATCTATGTTTTTCAGGTAGAAGTGGGCTAAAATAGCCCCTCTCCAGCAGTACCGCTGAATAAGCAGCTATTAGTTTTTTTTTGTTTCTGCATCTGCAAAGTGCAGTTTTTGGCTCTTCTAAGGGCACCAAATTAGACAGATGAACCCAATAATAGTTCATATGTTTTAAAAACTGTTTTCTGTAGTCTGTTACAGAGGTTCTGTGGGATGGGATGTTAGTAGTAAACATGCCTAGTGGGTTTTGTGATTTTATGACAAAAGTCAGGTGTCTGAGCATAATTTTTTCTTTCTAATAACTTGGTCTGCTCACTCTGAGCCTACTGTTCTCTCAACTCGTGTAACTATTCCTTTTTAGGTCAGCACGTGTGCATATGTCACCCAAAAAGTTGAGTTTGCGGGTATCAGGTCAGTGCTGCCTCTGAGGGCTTACTGTTGCTTTAGATTATGAATCTAGAGTGTCCAATTAGAGAACCTTCTCTGAAAAATCCTTCGTGATCTATTGTTCTTTGACTCTTCCACAGATCTGTCTGCACCACGGGGTGGGGGAAGGCTTCTGTCTGATTTGAGGTGCAGGAAACTAACAGTAGGACAGCCAACCACACTTGTTGCCTCTGATGAACGCCCAATAATTTTCCTTTTACCTCTTATAGTACTCCCCCCCTTCCCGAGATGTATTGAGCTCAGATGAGGGTTGGTTCACTTGCTGTTGAGATGACAAAGGGACAAGATGTGCAGATGCAGAGGGAAACAGCTGTTTGACATCTTTTGGATTACCTCTATCTACCTCTGTATTCAAGTCATCCTTGATTGCAGATTTTGGGGACATCCCTTATTTGCTCAAATATTGATTCTCTATTCACTTTGGTTGGCAAATACTCTGCACTCTCTTTCTTGCAGGGCACAGGCGGGTGAACTGTGGGTTAAGAGTGAGAAAGTCACTTGTGGATACATCAGTGAGGACACCCGGGTAAGATTTCAGGGAGTGGGCGAAAGGAAGTTTTTCCCTTCCCCTCCCTGCCAGGTTTCTTGTAACTCCCTCTGGCGTGCAGACCTGCGTGGATCGTTTGAATTGGCTGTGTTGTGAGGTGAAGGATGGCAGTGAATTCAGGAGAATGAATGATTAGTGAATTGCAGCTCTTCTGTGCTGACAGCACCAGGCATTACTCGGGCTGTTGAAAAGCCGGCTCGTGAGAGGGGAAATTGCTGCAGCGGGCACAGTCATTTAAGCTGCTCCACAGTTAACTTCTGCATTTGGCCCTTTTAGTGAGTGTACCATGTTTTAAATAAGATCTTTCATTCCTTTGCAGGTGGTCTTTCGCTCCACTTCTGCCATGGTTTATATTTTTATCCAGATGAGCTGTGAAATGTGGGATTTTGATATTTATGGTACGTAGGTAACTGACCTGCCTGACTGTGAACATGCGTGGCAGCAGCTGTCCTTTCTGCCCCTGCTAGAAAACTAAAATACCCTGCCTGTGGCCTGGGCAGTGCCCCGAGGCATGCTATGCTTCCCTCTGAGATTACTGCCAGTGCCATGCTTTTCCCTCCTGGGTATTCCATACTTTTCCTTCCCTTACTGTAGGGTCTAGGTACCATTATGTCAGTGACAAAATGAAGGGGACCAGCTGTCTCTGGACCTTGGGAAGGTTTTCTGTGGACATGCACATGTTTGATGATGAGGGCGGTTGCCAGCCTGTCTGAATCTTGAAACCAGAAATGTATGGAAGCCTTGTGCAAAGAAGACCTTGGTGTTTTAGATATCTCTTGACTTTGGCTTAGCGAGAAAGAAAAACCACCATAGCCCAGGTAGAGTCAGCTTAAAACTTTAGGCACTAAGAATGAGTCGCTTATCTGTATCATCGTCCTGTTGGGGTTTTTTCTGGCTTCATTCTTTAGCGTAGCTCTTCCCACTTCCTTTGACCATGTGTTTAGCCATATGTAACTGGGCAGCCAGTCAAAACTGAGCAGGGGATCAGTTTTGCATACTATGCCCAAAAGACAGTACAGATGCTTTCCCAGCATGCCGTGAATGTGTTGGAAAAATGAATTTAAAGGTCAAATCCTTTTGCCAGTAAGGATCTTTTTTACATACACTGAAACATAGTCCTGCTTTTTAATCTTTGTATCATCTTTGCCTTAGTGATATCAGCATTCGTTATGCATGCAGCTGCTCTGATTCTAACAAAAATAATTGTCCTAGAATCTCAGGGTTAAATATACCCAGTGTTTGCAGTGACTGCTGTTGTTTGATGCCTTGGAGACGTTTGCTTTGCAGGGGACCTATATTTTGAGAAAGCTGTGAATGGTTTCCTTGCTGACCTCTTCACAAAGTGGAAGGTAAGGAGCTGACTGAGTTCATCCTGCTCTGAAAGAACAAGTCAGTGCCATCTTAGTGACCCCTTGGTGTGCCAGGTTGAGGAAGACCCAGGTTGTGTCAGGCAGTGCTGAGATTTGTGGGGCTGAGAGGTGGCTCCTGGGCATCTAAAGAGTCTGCATTAAATCTGCAGGTCTGCATTAAATCTCATGTGCTAAGTGACCCCAGTACTGGTCTGTTGTATCTGCTGTGTTTGTATCATACAGTTTGTGTGGAGGCTCTGACTGGGCTAATAGATGTGTGATATGGTTGGTTTGTGCTTGTGCAGGAAT